CAAGGTGAGCATAAAAAGGCAGGCAAAGTGGCTGCCATGCCCAACGCCCTTTGATTATGTGGCTGTGATAGCCCAGCTTTGTTGTTCTCATTTTTTTCTTCTTTTTTTGTGGGCCTTGTAACGAGAAGGCGAGTCAGAAAAACTTGGGGCAGAGCACTTCTCATTAGAATGCTTCACAGCGCAGATTTGACAAGACGTCCGCCTAAATACAGCCAGCATTTTGCCTTCCAAAAACCGCACCTTCTCCATTCCCAAGTTCTTGATACCCTTTCAAAAAGTTTGATACGATACTCTAAACATTTCAAAATCTTATATTTGGCAATAATTTAACCAATTGCTTAATTATTATGTCCTCTGTTGATGTAAAAAATAAAATTTTTTTTTTTGTTTCTTACACTTACAAATGACTTATTTTCATTTTAGAAAATTCATTTTGGAGTTGTATATTGCAATAATTTTTTATTGTATTTTTTTTATATTTAAATTTTCTTGGTTATCTTAAGGTTAATAATATTTAAAAAATACATATTTATACCTATAATTAATAAACAAATTGTATTTTAAATTCTAACTTTCTAAGAGTGTTTAAGTCTTCGGCCTTTCAGTATTTCCTTTCTGGGGCTGTGAGGTTTTTGACTCACCTTAGCACACAAGCACGCACTTCTCGTTGCTGTCGTTGTTGTTACAGCTGCGCATTTTTAAACAAGATTAAAGCGCGCACGTCGTCAAGATTTCAGAGTGTGAGCCAAATGGGTGTTGCGAAAATGAGGGCGGTGGTTGAGTGGTGCGAGTTTTCCGAGGTGGAGCGAGTTGGGTGGTGGGGTGGCATTGCTGGCGGCAATTTGTTGACTTGACTGCAAATGTGTCGCATCTTAATGCGCTGTTATTAAATATGCCACGGCAAATGGAAACAGGAATATACGATATACGAACAGCAGCTTTCTCGTTAGGAAGCATAGGAAAAATTGTACAATGTTGAATCAAAGCGAATGTTTAGGTTTTTGCAGGATAATAAGTTTTAGTAAAAGCCTTTAAAAATCGGTTCATGAATATAGTTGAAAATCCAACTTATTTTACGTGTAATTGCGCAAGTAAATCATAGTACGTGCACTTGTTAAGCCCCAATTGCTTCAGTCTTCAGCTCGATTATGCAACGCCGTGTACGAGCTCGCAAATTGAAATTATAATTGTGTTAACCGCATTTCGAGTCCCCTCTTATAATTTGTTCGAAGCTTGTTTCTCTGATGATTATTTTCGTATGCTGATTTTATTGAAATAATTAAGCGCGGAAAATGCCGAAGGTGCGCAATTCATTGATGACCCAAAAGTGACACTTGCACATTCATTTGTTGCACTTTTATTCGATTTTATATTCGTTTTTTTTGTTTTTTTTTTTGCCTTTTTGTGTGGGTGTGTGCGTTGGATTTAAATTGCATTCTGTTCGGAAAAACTGTCCAATGGCCCGATGCCTGCTTGCAATAAATTCGCTTAATGAAGTTTTAAAAATTAAAACCAAAAAAAATGCCAACTGCTTGTGGGCGTTGTCAGCATTGCGATCCACGTGTTATGTACGAAATGCATTTAATGTAATTATTTCTTTAATTAAAATATTTAGCGCAACATCGGGGGCAGCAGCAGCAGCACCAGCAACAACAATGTCGCGGGGAGCGCCGACGTTAACAATTTGCACAAAAGTCACGTCGTTGCTGTTATTATTGTTAATGTTGTTATAATGCCTCGAATCGACCATTCAGCTTAATTGAAACCATTAAAAATATCGTTGCAATCGGCAGAACGAGGCATACTTCTATGAAAAAGTGGCCACGTGATAAAAAACGAATTTCATTATGAACATATTATATTATCTTTCAACTCTATAAAACTTAAAATACTCTAATTATAACACAACTCAAAAAAAAAAATCAAAAAAATCGATCTGTGCATTCTACATTACTGGCCTATTTCGAACTTATTACTTACATTTCGAGCATATCGAGTTGGTATGCCGCATATCAAGTCAAATATCAAATAATATAAAATTAATTATCATTTCACATAAATTTTTCTTGGTTTTTGAGCATTAAAAGCCTTTCCCACTGCATATACAGCTAGTAAAAATTCCATTTACTCTAAAATTTCAATAAAAACGTGTTATATTTTTTGTTTTTTAGTGAATATTTATCCAATTGTCTAGGTATTTATTATAAATATATATTTTCTCGGAATTTACCCAATTTACATACAAAATGCCATGTACTCACTACCGAACTCCATTTACAACTTCAATTGCACATCATGACAAATATGGGACGTCCTGCTGCTAGCACCCCCCAAAATACCCATTCATTGGACGAGTGCCAGGCAAAGGTTAATTTACTTGAAAAATTCCGGAATGCTTATTCTTAACAAATATGCGAGCAATTGCTTAGCTTACTTTTCAGGGGAATTGAATTGGCTTACAGTACAAAGGAAACACTGATGGAATGGAGAGAGGGGGGAAAATAGCAACGTAGCACTAACAACTGCGCTGATTTATCTGCACAAATTGCCAACTGAAATTAATAAGAGAAATCAGTTTACCATTTCCTGTCGACGACGACGACGGCGGAGGACGACGAAAATACTAGAAAAATGCCAACTAATAGTCCATTGTCGATTCCGTTTCTAGGGATACTTGAGAATGGGTAGTGGAAATGAAGAGACATTCCAATAACTGTACAACATCCGGTGCATATACATACACATACATACAGAGCAAACACAATGGCAAAAACGTTTCCATTTTCAATGGAGAAATATTTCTATTTCAACATGAAAATATTTTTAGCAGCCTTTTGTGTGGGGATATCATCTAAACGACTCCTCACCTGCCGAAGACCAGATAAAAATTTCTGCTTGAGCAGAAGAAACTGATAAAAATAAAAAAATTTAAACTGAGTAGTAAAAACCGAAAACCAAGAAAAATTCAATCTTAATCCGGTCGCTTGGCAGGATATTTTTTATAGACAGAAAAGTAACTAACAAGAGTAGAAAAAGGAGGAAAAATGAAACCAAAATGGATGCTGTGCACTTAGACCTTAGGTATATGGCTTTGCTGAATGGAACCAGTGACGTATGCACTTGACTTGCACATTTGCGGTGGCAGAAAGCCTCTGGAACTCGGGAACTCAATTCGAGCCACATCCCAGGCCGAAGCCAAATCCAAAGAAAAATAGTTATTGTTAGAGCAACGAGGACATCGCCAACCGACGAAGTAAGCAGTAAGTAGCTTTATTATGGGATTTTAAGTTATTACACCGGAGGACCCCCGATGATGGAAAAGTGGGGTTCGCAGAAGTTCGAGGGGCGGGAAAACAGGATCTGGCAGCGATGACAATCGGGGTGCCACTGCCAACACTCACATATCCTTGCACTCGAGTGCAGGACTTGGCCCAATGTGATGACGAGATGCCTCTTGGCCTACAGCCGAATTTGTCAACATGACTTGAAGGAAATTCAATTCGTCTTCCTTTCTTCCCTTTTCCTGCGGCTTCAGTGGGTAGTATTTGCATTGCTATGTGGATGGGATTACGGAGTGCTTTTTATTTAAAGCAGCTCATGGAGTGGCATTTACTATAGGTTAAGCAAAAATAACTTAAAGGGTAAAAAAAATTGGAAACAGATTAGTAGTAAATAAAAAAGTAATAAATAAAGAACAACTTTTAAAGCTCTTAAAAATAATTTGATAAGCTCTATTACTTTCTATTCTTACTATTACAAATTGGATAAAAGATAAATTATGAAATAAACAGGATTTAATTTATACTAATTTTTGGTTACCATTTTATTATTTTTATCGTATGGTATTTTCTTAAATTGATTGTTTTTAACAGGTTCCACTACTTTCAAGTTAACTGTGGATATTGCTTAGGTCCCAAATTATATTTAAAAAGGCCCTAGGGAACACTAAATATTTTATTTCGCTTTTAAGCTAAAGTCCCCAATTGTGACAGTTGATTTCCTAAGATTCGGATCCTGCTACTTTCTATGTGTGTTCTCGCTGTGACCCAGTTAATAATTCAGTACGATACCATTAGGCGACAATGAGTGTAAGAACCCACGCCCCTCGGCACATCAGTTTCGGTGTCAAAATGTGACACTAAGGCTAATTTAATGGAAAGTGTCCGAGTGGAGAACTTGAAATTCGTGTTTATCGCGACACGCAACGGACGCATTTTCGCCGCGAGCCAAAAACAGTAATAATATCTATAGGAACCGGCTCATGTGGTTCATATTTTAGCTGACATATCTATTTATATGCAAATGCCACTCCTCCCGGAATTTTGGAATTCCGAAAAGGAAGCCCCTCTGTCACCTGGATACTCAAACTACTCATCCTGCGTGCGTGCCAAAGTCAAAGTCGAGGAATTTTCCTTTGTTGTTTTCGCATTCCTCAAACAATAAATCACGGCACCTACATATATGTAAGCCAAAGGCGCGAGGGGTAAAAACTAATAAATCTAAGGCCAATTAATTGACTTAACTGCTGCTGGCAAAGGCAGAGAGACCAAAGATGAGCCAACTTCAACGGCAAAAGGAAAAGCCAACGGCAAAAGGCAAAGTCTGCAAAAGGGTCGCAATTTATGGCCACACCATCAACTTGAACCCGCACATAATAAATCATAACATTTTACAGATAATAGAAAACCTCACACATGTCCAAACAATCGGAATCCCCCAGCCGTTTGGCCCCCCAAAAATTTCTAAGCCCGGCGGCTAGAAATTTTAATAAACCGCAAAGTCGGTAGTGGGAATAAAAATTGTTTCACATAATTTATGCCGCCTTGGAGGAAAACTTAACACGAGGAAAGGAAACCGAGGAACAGAAGGATGTTTTCCAGGATGCGTAGTATCCGCCGGCGCCTTTTGCGATCAAATCCAACTTTATTCCATCTAGTTGGCCTGGCTTTTGTAATAATATCGAATAATGTCTCGACCTGACAGCCAGTTCGTTAGAGCTTCAGTTATAATTTGGAGTAGCACATGAACAGTTCACTTCTAAAACTCTCAGTAAAATTGGTTATAGTAATTTCAGTTTTCCCTTAAAATTTGTTGTCGAAAAAAGTAAAATTTTATACAAAACGTCGACAAGAGGTAAGTGAAACGGAAACAAAAAATATAAAGAATTTTTCAACAAAACATATACACAATATACATACATAGTTCAGTATACATAACTTCTTTGAAATAAAACAAAATTATAATTCCGAGAAATAAAAATTGCTAAAATATCGCGTTTCAATGATTCAATATTTCTGGAGGTCTGCACGTCAAAGATTTCCTAATATTTTTCTTGTTCGGCATATAAACAAATTTAAAACTTAAAGAAATGAAATTATTCTTAAATTTATGGTCTATTTCCAAATTTACTTTCATGCCTAAATTCATTTCAATACTCTGTTTAATTATCTTTATCCAATCATTCGTTACTCTTTTAGGTTTCGTGAGAATTTCTATAATTTAATAGGCCTTTATACGAAGCAGTCTTTGATATCAGAATAAATATACCATGACCGACAAAGCGAACGAAAGCGAGAGCATGAGTTTGGGATCGTGGGAAACCAATGGCTTTCTGAACTTCATGCGCACCTTCCGTCCACAAAGCAACATGGGTTGGTTGGATTTCGCCGAGGAGAGTGCCAGGTGCTGGAAGAGAATGAGCCAGGAGGAGAAGAATAGCTATCGTGGTAGCCACATGAGGTTGAATGCCATGTATATGGACGATGAGAGTGCCAAGAGACTGAGTGAAATGTGCAATCATCCCATGGGCAAGCAGCGTAGTGCTCCCAGGGAAAAATCTTGTTCCTCACCGAGAAAGTCCTGCGCCAAGCCAAGGAACACCTGCGCCGCACCGCGAAAGTCCTATGCCAAACCAAGGAAGTCCTGTGCTGCGCGCCATAGGAAGGCGGCCTGCTCCAAGCCCCGGAGATCCCCGTGTGCCAAGCCAAAGTGCAGCAAACCTGGTCCCGTGACGAATAATGGCTACTTGAATTTTGTGCGCTCTTTTCGCAAGAAGCACTGCGGCCTGAAGCCCCAGGAACTGATCATCGAGGCTGCCAAGGCTTGGTCGAAGCTCTCGGAGGAGAAGAAGGATCGGTACCGCCGCATGGTAATTATTGTTATATTTATTTAATAAGATATTAGATCTCTACTGATTTTACAGGCCTGCAAGGTCACCCACAACGAACGCCACAAGCGCCGTCGCGTCTGCAATCGATGTTAAAAGCTCAAATTGGCGGTACTGAGATTTAATATCTGAAGTCCCGCGTCTGCAATGGGTGTTGGTGGGTGAAAATAATGTCCTCAAGTACCGGTATCAGTTTCCATTTCCATGCTCTCTTTTGGCCTGCAAATTGTGGTTTTCATATTCATAATTAAGAGCGTCGTCGAATTCGAAATAAAAATCTGTTTATGCATAACAAAAATTTAAAAAACATTGTTTATTTCTTTGAGGAAGGACAAAGCTTGGGTTGCTAGATTTTCAGTTAATTTACTAACATTTGTAGCAAGTTACGGTTTTTTTTTATTCTACCACAAAAAGTATTTAATTTTTTTAAATAACGTCAATTAAATTTAGAATATTATTGAACGATCGCGGGCTAAAATTGAATCATAAAATAATGACCATGGAATATAGAGATTAAAAGTGATCGATATTTTCGATATCTTGACAATATTGATTCTATAATATCTATGTTTTGAAGGAAAACGCACAAATTAAATATCAAAAATAGGAAAATTCACTGACCCCCAGCACAAAGGTCCTCTAAAATTTCAATAAATTTAAATTAAAGCCAAACATTTTAGGGCAAGGATACTCTACTCGGTGTGCAGTAAGTCAATGTCAAATGCGAGGTTGTGTGTGGGGCGTGTTGCACAAAAGTGTTGCAAGTCGAAGCGGAAACTCGCCGACCACGCCTTTCTCGCCGGCCCGCGTGTTTGTCTAGATGTCGGATAGATGTGGCAAGGCCCTCGCCTATCTGGCTCTAAACTAATGCCGAGGGCAGCCCCGTCGACAGGCGACTACCTAGCCACGCCCCCACGCCTTGTAATGACGTCATTTACATGCTGCTGCCACAACACTCGCGGGGCAATTACATAAATCATAGAGCCAGAACAAGAAGATTCAGAGTTAATCTAGAGATTCTTTTTCTTTCGTTCTTTGGCCTGAGTGAAATCGTAAATAAATTACACGTCCTGATTGATCAACTTTTTGCCCGATGACAGCCATAAAGGGGCAGTGTAGCAAAGGGGGGCTGAAAGGGGGTGAAAGGGGGCACAACGCCACTGTCATTGTGGCCGAAAATGTCGAGGCAGCCGCTCGTAAACATAAATCCAAGTGACGCTAATTGTTTGTTGCAATTACTGCTGCAGTTGTTGCCACCGTTCAGTTACGTGTGCAGTCAAGGGGGGTTAAAGGGGGGTTTGAGAGGGGGGCTCTTCTGTTTGCATGCAAATTTTGATGCATCTGCAGTTGCTGCTGATGATGCTGCTGCTGCTGCAACGGGGCAAACAATTACTCAAACATTGTTGCAAGTGCAACTGCTGCTGCTGCCTGCTGATGTTGCTGTCGTGCATCTCGTTGTGCGTGCTAAATGGCAACTACTCCGGCGGCTAATGATAATCACTCGATTCTTACTTAGTTTCACCTGCTACCCCCTCGGCTGTTATGGCCATTTTAGCACTTAATCAATATAAAGAGCTCGAGAAGGTGGAAAAGAGTTCCCAATTTAAAGATTAGCTCTCTCCAGGAAATAATGCCATTTAGTATTCCACATAATCCAAAGCTGTCCTCTCGTATTTATCCACAAGATGAATTTGAAGTTGGCATTCAAAGGCAGCAGCAGCAGCATAATGAGGCATAAACTATACATAAAGCCACCCAGCTGGATGTTTCGAGGGGAATGAGGATGAACGAAGGACCTCTGCAGTCCGATAGCACAGCTGGTTATAAATTAGAATTTATGCATAGCCATTACGATTTCAAATTAATATTTCACATTAATATTTTTGGATTTGGAGCACAAAATACAGAAATTCAGCTGGCAGTCGACTGGAAAGATATTCGGGCGGCAATTAATATAGCATTGGGATATAATAGTGAGCTGTCTTTAGAAATGGCTATCCGCTACTCGGCTTTAAAGACGATACATTAGTAAGTGAAATATGGACTGTGATTATTTCTATTAATGGTTCTAGAAACTGTAAAGAAAGTGTCTTTAAGATTTAGTCCTTGAAGATTTAGGAAAAGTGTAATTGCAATTTTGTTGTGTTTTAAAATATTCAATCAAAAGTTAATAGCAAAAATTTAAATATCCGCTAGATGGAGCCATTAAAATTTCAACTGCCGCTAGATGGCTCCAGTAGCTTTGATGACTGCATATCTCCGGGTATCGGGTATCTAATAACCGAAGTTCTCGACTTTCCCACAATTATACTTTAGTAAATGCAACCTTGATTCACCTTGAGAAAAATGGCACCACTCCTCCGACTTATCCCCAGATTAATTATATACCCTTGCCCAATTGCTGGCGGTGACAAATTGGCACTACGAAACCCCTAAGAGACATGGAAATTTGCCCGACAATTAAATAAACAGTTCTTAATACCCCTTGGTCTTGGCCAACAACCGACACTTCCAGCTGCCCCCACACATATGGTGACTAAACTGTCGGCTGTCGTGCGGCAGTTTGCAACTGTAAAGTGATATTAATTATGGGCTTTGTTGCACTTGCAACCGCCTGTCGCCTGCAGTTCAGGTCTTCCTGGTCCTGTTCTGGCTCTACGGACTTCTGGGTGGAGAAGTGGAGACTCCACTTCTGTTTCCTCGCTGATTAAGTGACTTTTCGACAGGACACAACTCTGCGGCTTCTACTCTCAGGCACTCAGTGCATCAGTGTCCTTTCATCCGGGGCAAACTAATTTTATCGCAATTAATAGGGGACACAACCAGGCTGTTGAGGGTAAACCGCAAAAAAAACCAAAACAGCTGAGTAGTTGTTAGGCAGATATTTTCGAAAATATCTCTTGTTCTCAAGCCCCAGCAAAAGTAAAACGGCTGAGTTTGAATTTTTGGAAATATCTGTAGCTTCCAATATTTTACCCTTTAAGGTACTGTGAAATTTTCTTCACAGAAGTTTTTTAATTTTATGCAAAAAAATCACTGGGTTATAAATTTATTCTATATTTGAAAATTCGGATTTAGGATTTATGGCAAAATCAGAATTATTTCTGTTGAAGTTATGTTCAAATAGGCGCATCATCTAAAATGGTTCCTCTTTTTTGATTTGTGGATTTTTCATAAGTTAAGCTGTTTTTAAAATTGAAAGATTGCCTTGCCAATAAATACTAGCGAAATGCATAGATATTTTTAATAACAATTGTTGGTAAAATAACATTGTTTAAAGTAGATACTAGAATATTCCCACATAACAGCAGAACGCTCAAGTAAACCCCGTTAGTATTTCTCTGGATCGGTTGGCATAGCACGTGTTGCTGTTTATGCAATTGTACCGGCTCGTGGACAAAATTCCATTTATTATTCCACTATATGAGCTTTCGCACTTAACTTGCATGAATAGATAATGAGCTATCCGTGGAAATGGAAATGGTAGTGGAAATGTAAATGGAACGGGTAACTGCTAAATGGTAATAGGGGTTTGGAAGATTGGAGTCGAAGGTATCGCAGTTGCGTGCTCGAAGCTTTTCCAGAGTTCTCTGACCTGCGGCGCCTGCTGTGAGACGGCTAAATTGAATTATTAATAACACGCAGGATGCTATAGCCCCGATTCTTTTTCTCTAATAAGTATATATACGCAGTGCACATTGTGGTTTTCGAGGAGACAACCTTGGGACAGTTGGCGAAAATAACAAGGGAACGGACTAATCGCAGCACTTATGACCATAATTTGTCAATTTTCGAAACAATTCCCCGAGCTCGCATAAATTGTCTCCTTTCTCCTTTTTCCCCGTCGGTTGGCTTTTGGCACCCATTACAGCTCATTTCTCTTACTCAGAGGGACATTGCGCAGTGAAAAATGAAAGTGAACCCGAAACAGTGACGAACTGAAGCGGCCTTGTTTCTGCGGACAGAAAAAAAAGGGAAATAAAGGGCATTTAAATTCCGTTGTGTGCATAAATTACTCAGGAGTTGACGTTTTCCCACATAAATGTGTAAATGAGTCTCAGTTTTCGCTGTTTTTTCAGTTCTGTTGCGAATGAAATTGAAATGAATGCACGGATCGAGCTGTGAGTCCTTGGGTTGGTTTTCGCTTGTAACTTGTTGCTCTCGCTGATTGAAGATGGGCTTGATATCTGAATTTCGGCATGGGGCTTCAAAGGAAATTGTATTTTCTGCAATACTATTTTGTTTTTTTAATTTTATTTTCGTAGTAGGGATTTTTTGGAAATATTATGTACCATTTATTAACAATTATATAAATGGAATATCAAATAAAATAAAGACTGCCAATCGAATAAATTTAATGGACATTTACTAAAAGCTATGGCAAATAAAAATTCACTTAGCTAACAAGAAAGGAAAATCCAAAAGAGAAAAAGCTTGGGGCTCTTTGTTTTTTCTTTTTGGCAAGATGAAAATGTTCGGAAAATTACCGCCCCTTTGTGCATTTGGCCCTAAGATAACTGCCGACCAAATGACACACATTAGGGCCAAGTAAAGGTGTGTTTTTTTTGGAAAGGAGGAAAGGAGGAGGCCTCCGTCTTATGGCTTATGTGTGCGAAATCAATTCAAGCTCGATTTCCTTTGATGAAATGGTAAGTGTGGGCCAGGCCAGTCGAACGTACGTGACAGTTATTCTTAAATGGCCCAAAGCGAGCAAATTACTAAAAATAAAGTAAGGTAGGTAGTAACCCAAAAGGGAGACGGCCTGAAAGTGCGCATTGTAGGATATTGATCCGAAAATCGTTCAATTAATAACGCAAATCCTTTATGGTCAGTTACCAGGGACAGCGGACCGTTAATTAATGCACTTGTCTGTTCCATCCTCCAATCGCCTTATCTCATCCCCTTTCCCTCCACTTTGCCTGCCGCCGCCTATGATTAATGTTTAATTAAGTTTGCAGCATTTAACAAAAAATTCCAGAATCGCCGGATCCCAGCAAAGGATTACATCATATTTAATCAGAGTCATTATTTATAATGATACCGCTTGCACGAGGCATTATTATAGTCACTGCTCCTGAAATATGCCACAAGTTATCAGAAGGCCGAAGTAAGCGCCATATCATATAAGCGTTAATAAGTGAATTTCGCGTTGGTTGTTCTGCAAATTAATTTCGTTTTGAAATTTTCCTCAAAATATTTATGGTGGATTTATTTCCCGTGCTTTTTGTTTAAGGCTCTTAAATTGTGGAATTTATTTTAAATGTTTTAAATATAAAAGAGAATCCAGAATAGCTCCTTATGCAACTCAGCGTGCATTCAGAGCAGCTTAAAGTCAGCCAAAGCCAAAGTGCAGTTGCCGTTCGAGTTGAAGTAAATTAATTAACAATGTTTATTGTTTGTATAATATGCGAATATTCCCCTGCAGTTGCCATTGTGCGGTCGTTGTTTTCGTAACTCTTATTGCAGCTTTTGTTGCCGTTTCTGTGATGTTTGTGGCCGCTTTGCCTGACTGACAGTCAATTTGCAGGCAGCACTTGTAATGTGCCGAAATGTTTTACATTATTTGCACATGCTGGAAATTTAAATTAAATTATTTTGCTTTGCCTCTTGACTCGACTCGACGATTGCCAAAGCTTCAGCTTCATCCGAAGCACTTGGTCAATGCCATAATCTGTTAATTGGTAATTGTAGGCCATTAGGCAGTGAGTCTGAGCCTGAGAATACCTGCGGCCGGATACTCTTAATCATAAGCATAATAATTGAGGTGACCCTTTGTTGTTGCATCTTGATGAATGACATTGCCGGAGATTCGGTAAATAAAAGGGAAACTATTCATTCAAGCGGTAATAGTGTAATTTACCTTTGACTTCGGGGCAAAATATTGATTCAAGTTAGTCTTAGTTAAGGACATTTATTTATTTCCTTTTGTAATTTCATATTGTTGCAAAACTCTAGAAATCAACGCTTTAATTGTCTATCAATAGGAAATTTAGTTTCGGAAACTCTATTCAAAATTATTAACATTTTCCAGCAAAGCTAGCGAGAATGGCTGATATGCATGAGCTTATTGTGACCAGCATTATATTCCTTTATCAGGTTTTCCTCATTTTTGTAAGTTATTAAATGTGGAAAATCATTTAAATAATTTTTTTTATTACCTATAAATAGAGATCCATACATCCCCTGAAAAAGGATGCCCTGCTGCTCATCCTGCACAACTTTTTGCTGTACTATGTGATCAATATGTTCAAGCACCTGGCTCAAGGTGGGTTTTTAATCCTTACCTCAGCTTTTTTAACGTAAATTTTTTTTCGCAGATACCATTAACTCGGATGGACCGGTGAACACCTTCTACTACGTTCCACTGGTTTTTGAAGAAAGCGTCGCCTTGGGATCCCATCAGAGTTGGCACGAGGTCCTGCGGTCATCCAGCTGGCAGTTCTTTGAGGTCCTTTTCAGGCATCATTTGGCCCTGCTGTTGCCATTTAATTTGGCCCTCCTGGTGCCCGTAAGAAGTGATTACTCTTTGTGTTCGAACCCCGAACTTCCTTCGATTTCCACTTGCAGCGCTGCAAGTTGGCCTTCATTAGCACTTTGGTCCTGCTGTCCAACTTCGTGATGTTCGTCTGTTTCTCCTCGGCCATTTGTCAGCTGGTCCTGGCCCACAGCCACGCCCCCAGCCTGCGCCTTCTCACGATCCTGGGTTTGGGCCCAGTTTGCCAGGCTCTCCTTGCCTGCCGCCTTTTGGCCCGAATGTGGGTGAGTTGCGGCCCCTCGAGAGATACTACATGTGAAAGCCCTTTCTTTAATTTGTTCTCTTAGCTCAGTGAGTGGATTGTTGTTTGAGGCATGAAATTTGATTTGCCGGCACTGATTGCTGGCCAAAAGCCACACACCCCCATCTATCCATCTATCCACCCATCGTAATCAGAGCCACCGAAGTTTAGCAACAGCAAATCAAAGCAATAAACCAACTGAACCCATCGCAAAATCACTTTCACTGCACAAGCTGCCAAAACTGCAGGCATTTATGACAGGAGCAGTGGGGAAAGTGGGGAAAATCGCATAACAAAATTGTTGCTGAAAAGTTGAACAAATATTGAGGTCAGCAGAATGTCGAGTAGAGGAGTCTAGAGTCTCGAGCCTTGTTGGTTGGTTTGTTGGTAGTAGTAGTGATGCAAACTGTTTGCTAGCCTTTGGCAGGGAGTTTTCCCGCTTTTCCGACACAGTCTGGCTCTTCGAAAAGGCCCACACGTTCTGGCCGAAAAATATTCAATGAAAATCGTCGGCCGTCGACAGTCGACAGTCGTGTCCCCCCCTTTGTCAATAATACAAAATGGGGAAAAATGAGTTGTTGCTGCCGCAGCTCGAGTTTGCATGGCGCAATGCAGACGTCCACGTAGCCCGGGGGTCGTCTGTCCCCCTCTTCACAGCCCAATCCCTTCGAAGCCCCTACCCCCTCTCCCCTTTTCGACGCCTCTGGGGTAACAGCTACCCCCTTCCTGCATGCCAGCTGCCTTCACTTCGAATTGAGAAATTGCCGCAAATGCTTTTCGATTTTTCGTTTTCCTCGGACAAGCCTTGGCTTTTCATATTGCATAATTGATTGTGGGTGTGCGAGTTGCATAAATACCGAGCAGACGGCATTGTCACCACCCCCGAGCAACGCACCCACCAACCCCCCTTCATTTATGCACATTTTCAATATGCATTCAGATTGGGATTCGAATTCAGATGCATTTGGGCATGCATTGATTTCCGCAGAGGGCCAGAAAAGAGCATTGCCAAGTTGGCGTGTTGTGTTTACGCTTTCTTGGGTAATAATTAAATTGCGGAACTTTTAAATGCATTTCTTCGAAAATCAACAAGTTCTTTGTTTAATATTTTTGGTATTATTAAAGTTCTGATTTTATTCAAGTGTTTAACTTAGTCCTGGAAATCAGCTTATTATTTCTGTTTCTTTCAATAAAAATTATTTCAGTGGTGAACAAGTTGTATATATATTTTTCATATTTTAGGTCGATTTATTGCTGCTACTCAACAGACAATATTAAACATAGTTGAGCCATGAAAAATAATAAAACAAATAAATTGTATTTATAAAAACGAGTAGTTATTATATAAAAAGCAGCCAATCAATTCAAAATTATATTATGTTTTTTGCAGGTATTTCTTATATTTATACGGCTTTGTATTTAGGTTAACATGAACGTGACACACAAGTTGTGACATTTTGTTGATTTCTCCTGCAAAATGCACAGCATTTTAAATTCAAATGCAATAACATGTTGATATTATTTTATAGAGCAGAAATATAAGCATCGACCACCGTCCTCATTATGCCACCCACACAAAAACAACTCATCCATACATAAATATACCCTGCCAAGTGTATATAAATGCGCTTATGTGCTCATTTGATTTACACACTAAATATATACAAACTATGGTGGCAAGAAGGAAAGATTGCAAATTGCATGTGGAATTCCCAAGAGTCTAATAACATCAAAACAAAGCAAAAACAAGCATAAGGAAGTGGAAAATACCCTTTAAAAATACTGTTCTGTAAATATTAATTATTATAAATATTTTCTGAATATTATTATACAACTTCTACATGCATTTCGGTTACTCTTTTGTAATTTTGAAAAACATTTTTTAAGAGGGTTGAATAATTTATATTTTATTTCTAAGTATTACAAATAAACTGTTAAAGAATCTACACATCTCACCTCTTTTTGTTGTGAGTTACCTTTTTGCAAGTTCATTTCTCTCTAAGGATTTCTTCGCACCCTTCGGCTTTTGTGCTCTTTATCACATAGTTAGTTTACCCAGCTTGAGTGATGCTCTAGAATTGTGAGGGCTCTCGACGAATCTCAAGTCGTGATATAGCCGCGCAGTAACGAGCGTAACAGACCGTGTCCGTATATTCATCTGCCTTCCCCTTACTTCCCCTGCCAAACGTGACTATATAGTAATGAGCAACGGCACAGGTCTCCGGTACTCGGTACTCGGGGTCTCTAAGCATGAGAAATTTAATTTTAAGCCACCCCACATGCGAACCTCCTCCATTCCCCACATAATTGTGTATTCAAGTAAGAGATATGGGAGCTGAAAGAAGCTCTATCAAAGGAGGGATGTCGGGGAAAGGACTGCCTTAAATTAAGATAATGACACGTGAGGTATCGCCGCCTGGGGGCGTGGCTGGAGTGGTTGGTAAATTGCGATAACATAGAAATGGCCTGAATGGCGGGCTCACTTTAAAACACTTAACCCTTGACACCAGACACCCTGCTGCCCCGAACCACCCTGCTAGCACGCACTTTTAAAGCGCAACTCGATGGCAAACTGCCAAAGAGTTTTGCTTTCTTGGGCGAGGGAAAAGTAGGACACACGCCAATGGGCCGTTTGCCGTTTGGAAATTTAATTTCCCCCCCGGGCTCATGTACTCGAGCTCAATTGAGCCCTCAGTTCCCCCAGTTTGACTTTGAGGAATGCTTCGATCAAAATCTATACACTTTTTCCAACCAAAAGCTCACGGTGTCGACAGCAATGGTAAATAACTCACTGTACTGGGGTCCGGTTATTTAAAACAAACGTACTTTGATTGCATATCACATATTTATAGTCCATTACAAATTTCTGTTCAACGGAAGGTAGTCTTAATTGTTGTTTTATACGCAGTATTACTGTTTTCGTAATTAATATCGGTCTTTAAAGAGTGGCTTTGAACTAAAAAAATATTCAAAAGGCTACAACTTAATACTAGGAAGGAGATGAATTATACCTTTTCTTTGATTCCAAAACCATTGTGCATTGCAGTTCTTACAAAACAATTTCCTGTCCTTACATCATACAATATCTTTCTTGATTGATGTAGAAATCAGGTAATCAATTGGAAACAACGAGAACTAGGAACATAAAATAACAACAGAAAAATCGACAAACTGAATGTGAATTTTCTGGCCAATTCAACCGAGTGAATGTCGCAAAGAAAATTTACATATTAAATGGCAGCAAGGTGGACAAGGGCGGTACGTGTATGTCTATTTCAATACATACTAGTTTATATGAGTCTCTTGATGTGATTTGTTCACGATATGCAAATACTGGTTTTGACGTGAAAATAGAGAAAAGAGTCTGGAAGACGGAAAAGCATTTCCCCCCAAGAAAACCTTCAGGGGTGTCAACTACTCAGACTCCCAGACAAACACACACTTTTCCCCACACGAAAGAAAAACAGCCAGGGGTCCACATCACCACCAAAAGCTGCAAAGAATATCAAAATCCTTGCCTCGTAATTTACTATGCAAAGCAGCACTGTGGTTAAAATATATAAATATTTAACAATAAAATAAATTATATATTTATGTGCCTAATAAGTAAATAAAATAAAATAAAATTTTTTAAAATAGGCAAAATTATATAATTTTTTATTCATCTTCTCAATTAAAAAAAAAACATATTATTTTAATATATAAATATTTAAAAAATATTTTTTAAATTTTTAATTTTAATATTTAAAATACATTTTTGACCTATCCCATCTCACTGTGCAGCCTGCTGCTTTATTTTCACATGTAATGGCATTTTAATTGCACGCTACAGCTCAGCCAAGTGTCTCTCAATTAAAAGTGTCTGCTTGGCTCAAAACGACATCCTGTCCCCGTCCCTCCCTTAGCCGGCTTTCCTCTGTTTTCACCCGCCGTAATCTTTGAATGGCTGAGGAAGGAAAATGATGTCAGCCACATGTCGTAATTTGCGTGAAACGAGAGTTGCGGGGGGATCCCTCAAACCCCGAACTGAAACGCACGCACCAGCGTCCCCGACTGAATCGGATATATCTGTTAATTATGCAGGGCGAGCCGCGTGCTCGGCGAGATAAGAAGTCCAGGGGAATACGCCACGGGTTAATTGCCAACGGAAACTCAGAGCGCAGAGTGCAGGCCTTGAACTTAACGACATTTCTCAGTTGATTTCCAGTTGATAAACAAATTATTCGTATAAATGTTTCGTTTGCTGGCCGGAAGCGAGCCAGAACCAAAATCCAGTGATCATCTTCAGGAACCCCTAAGTTTGAGGGAAGAATTCCGGATCCGTAGATTCGGGCTAGGTCATCCCTATCCTTTAGATTTTCTACGTTCCCAAGTTGGTTTTTTTCGCCTTTCAACCGAAATATTTGTCTAAAATTTTATTTTCAGTGGCAATCAAAACCAAAATCTTCTGTTTTTTTGGCCTATCGTTGGCTAATGGGCGGCTTCTTCGGTGTGGGCGTAATCAGTTATTTCACTAAGTATTACCGTCAAGGAAATTGTTTCATCTTCCTGACCAACTGGGGATTTATTATGTGCGGTATTACAAGTATCACAGGCGCCATACTTGTGACTGTTTATCACTGCAAACGGGAAATATGGGGTAATCTATTAACGTAATAATTTATATTCAATATATAATATTAATATTATTAGCTGAACATTCTTTATCACTCAGTTCCCCCAAGATGCTTGGTCAAGACCTATTGGGCATGCTATTGGATTACAATAAATATTGAATATATAATCGCCCTTACTTATTGGACAGCCATATATCCCGAAGATCGGGTGCTAACTAACCCTATTCGAATTTCGGATTTCTACAATATTTGGGTACATCTACTGCCGCCGATTTTCTTCACCATTGATCATTTTATAGTGGCGCAACCAGCCCGTCTTCTGCACTTTGTCTATCCACTGGCATTTGGCTATTCATATGGAATATTTGCGCTTATATTTTATAAACTGGGTGGTCGGAATTTGTATGCATTTTTATTTAATTTAATTTGACTATTAATTTTATGTTTTTAGAAATGGAAATTCCTATATATATACTTTTCTGGACTTTACGAAACCAAAGCAAGTTGTAATAGCCGTGTCACTGCTAAGTTTGGTATTGGTTGGCTTGTCCTCCCTGCAATATGGAGTATATCGGTTGAGAACATTCATAGCACGCAAAACGGGGAAGCTTCATTGAGGCTCCCCTAATAATTGCATTAAAGTGATGCGTGCCAAAACTTAAAAAATAAAAATGCATACGGAAAAAGGGGGAGAATATTGGTAGTCGAATAAAAAAATATCCCTTAAATAAAGTCCTTTTTTTTTTAAATATTTAAAAATCTTTTCTTGCTTTCCAGCTACTGGGCATAATAAAGACCACAAAAAAAGCAGAAGGAGGGATGTCAAAACAAATTCAGCTTATTTGTCCTCTGATATGTCGGACTTGTTTTGTTGTTTACGCCGCTCGCACGTGTTTGGAAAATTAAAAGCACTGCTTCTGCTGCTGCAACTCCGCTTCGTCCTGCCATTCCCATCCTTTTGTTCCCAGGGGGTTATTATGGGATGGCCACATCATGTCGCCTGTATCTATATCAGCTTGTATCTATCTTGAATGTGCTATCGTGTTCTTTTTATATATGTCGGTCGGTCATAATTTGTTTTGATAAAGTTTTCTACGCAGTTTGTGTTTTTTGAAGCATTTTTTCCATGTTTTGGTATGTATTTTGTATTGTATAGTGCATTCCTTAAACATATAATTTTTTTTACGCTTTAAATTGTATTTTTTGTTCTTTAAACAAAAGTTCCCTTTAAATTACCTACGAATTGCAGCTGCAATTACAGCTGTAAATAACGTTGGGACGACAGCAACAATAAGTTGACTCATTGCTGCATTTTTCCATCCAGCCATCCAACCAACCGACCAACATACAACACACCACCCCCGCATTAACTTCTGCTTCGATAAATAAACAAGTTGAGCTACTTAAGATTTAAGTTGTTGTTGCAGTTGTTCCCGTCCTCGTTCGCCAATTGTTGTTGTTGCAAGTGGTGCGCACACAAAATTTATAGTGAATACTTTTCCCCTCATAAACCCGAAAGGAGGTGAACCACCGCACCCCATTCCACCACACCCCCCTTAACTGCATTAACCCCTTCAGTCCGTTACAAAATTGCACATTACGTATACGCTACGTATGCTCACTTGAAGCATGAAACCCTTCTGCACAGTGCACAACAGCAGCTGCGCTGCCTGCGTGTACGTTGGATAATAATATAAGCATATAAATGTTTATGTTAAATTAAATTGAATGCAAAAAGGCGGAAATGTTACGAAAATTGTGAAATAAAAATAAGAATAAACTGGGAAGCGAATGGAAAAACATTGAATACAAATGTATTTTTCGCCTTGTTGGGCTGCAAAGTCAGGAAACGGTATTTATAATTGCCTCAAATGGCTGGGAAAAATCGAGATGAAAATTTAAGACGTCCTTAAACTGCCATCTCCACCCACATTCTGTATGCCAATGCAGTTTGGCGGCTGTCAAGCTGAGTGCAGCCATAAATACGTTAACGTTCGATGTTTTAGGCGATGCCAGCTGCAACTATGGAGCCCTACTAAGTGGCTGCACTTTAGCAGTTCCCACAGGGTCCTTCTGAAGCGGCACTAAGCAGGGAGACTTTATGGGGTATGGCTTTTTTAGTCCTCACATGTGCAAAAGCCAATATCTATGGAGGTGTATTAGCTTGCAGCGAAACCATGGGAAAATTTGTAAAACTAAAATCACTTAACTGACTTGATGATGGCAGGGAACATTTAACAACGTTGGGAAGTAGTTCTCCTTGTAATTATTACCAGCATGTGGGTATAGCTTACATATAACCGACTGTCGAATTATTTAAACTGCTTTTCGGGTATTTATCTGTAGAATTTGCGTTTGAAAAGTATTTTGCCTTGGAATTACCACTACCATCTATATAAAAAGGATTTTACACAACTGAATTATTAAATTAAATGAATAATATTTAATTAATGAAATTTTAAAGTTTTTCTTTCAACATAATTATCTGAAGAATTCGCGTTACCATTGTTCTTCAATAGAAATTGGTTGGAGCACCAATTATATGCAAATTAATAATTTGTACTTACTGATATATTAAAGGTTATTTACGTATAATTAAAAATTAAAGTGTAAAATATTCATTCGAGTGCCCTGCCAAATAAGCAATATAATGCTCAACTATTTCGCATTGTGAGCTGCGTATTGTGTTTTGCAGAATGTTTCGGTAGGCATTTTGTTGTGGCCCGAGGGCTCTGCTCAAGCGGCATTGGAATTTTATTCTTTGCCAGCGCATTCAAGTGTTAAAATATGTATATGAAATTGATTGGCTGATTAAGCACACACTTTACACACAGCACGCCCAGGGATAGTCGCTCCTTTCCACCGCCCATTATTATTATTTTTATATTTCATCTTTTTCTATACATTGTCTGCCCTTCGAATTTTCCCCTTTTTTGATTTGCTTCGGAAATGACGCAAATAACGCAACAAATTTAAGCCAGTCACAAAAATGTACAAAACCCACTCAGACGGGTTCGAAACACACTGACAAACGCAAACATAAACATACCTTCAGGACGGGTTATTTATGACAATAGGCATGTGAGAGGCAAAAACAGGATGTTTTATATTATGCCATGGGAAAATAAAGGACAACAGGGCAGCAAACACACACACATACACATCCGCTCACGTAGGTAGAATCCGAATTTTGCATAAATTCCATTTAATATATAGGGAATGACGGGTATGCGTGGGCCATCAGAAGTTTGAGGCGATAATCTGATGATTTTGGTGAAGTATAAAATAAATCTACCCAACGAATGACAGGGAAAATAAACCACACAATTTATTTGGAAAACTCAACTGATATTTTTTAATACTTGAACAAAACTTGCAGAGCAACAGCTAGTCTACTTTTCAGATACATCGAATTTTTGTTCATCCTTTCGAGTAATTTTGAGAGTGAAATTTAATTGTGCTGCTCATTAATAGCACGTTGAACGGGCAAGAGCTCACCGGAAATATGTGATTTCCGGAAATAAATACATATTTGTTTCGTATTCAAAAGCATTTCGAGCAGTCTGCGAAATCCAAAAATAATTACCAAAAGTAAAAGTATTCGAGTGCTCCGTCTCGAAAAAGAAAAAGAATTTATTTGATTAAATTTAAATTTATTACTTGATTATCATTTTTTGTATTCGCCGGTTTGGGGGTGGCTTGAGTTTTAGTCCTTTGTCAGCTTTTCAAGGGTTTGAATGGGATAACAATAAACAATCATCTGAGCATAAGGACATAAATCTAAGAAAGTCAATAATCGGAAAAGCTTAAAGAAGGGGAAAGATTTCGAGGAAAAGCCCAAAAAAAACAGTCTACACATAAAGAGGTATTACAGTTAACTGGAAATTGTTTCTTCAATAATTTGAGAATATTCAGAGGCACAGACAGAAATCACTGAGCAATATCTCTTATTATTTGCCTTAATTTGCCCTTTTTTGTTTTGACAGCACAGACAGTCTACGAAATGACTCTGTACTTATCTCTCGGTACCACTCATTTTGGTATCCAAGCTAATAAATTTCAGCATGTTAAAGCGTATGCATATAATATATCCTCTGGATAGGAGGAGGATGGGTCAAGAAAGCCGAAGCCAATCAAAGGCGAACAATAAACAAGCATGACAATAAATAAATAAATAAATAAATGCCCAGACAAAAGACTTAAAACGAGGAGTTGCTGGCCAGGATGCGGGCTTCAAGAAAAGTGCGAGAATGAGGAGTCCTGGCCGGCAGGACAAAGGATAATGACGCGCTCGTTTCTCGTTTCTCCTCACTCGCAAATGCAAAACGACAATATTGGAAAAGAGAGAGAAGGACAGGATCGACAGGATAAAACTGGTTTGGGGTTGCGGTGCAGAAATTGATTGAATGGCGTATTAAACTTAAGCCACACAAACACACGCTCCGCCATAAGCAAACATTTATCTTGGCCTCTTTTCTTTGCAGCTCTGCTATTTTCCCTTACCCACTTCAATTTAACGGCTACTTAAGTCCATCATTTTGAATAATGCTGTGCAAACCGAAAGGAATTCGGGCTGAAGTCAATTGCAATCCGGAGTATGTGTGTAAATACTTGATATTCCTTTATTTTTTCGCTTGGCATGCTCTGGATAAATTGTTTAACTATTTATGTTATTTCTGTAGAAAAATAAAATAATTCTGGTTGTAGCAAATCCAATAATTTAAATATTGGTTTACCATTTTAATTCCCAAAAATTCCTTTAAAAAATTAAACACAGAATATAACTTATTTATTTGATAAGCATACAAATATTACATATTTATATATTTTTTAAATAAATCAAATGAACCTACATACCTGTCATTTGAAGTCCCGAAAATTCCCTTTAAAAATTTAAAGACAAAATATTCTTTATTTATTTGACAAGCATATTTCGCCCTTATTCACACTTTTCAATTGCCAAGGGCCGCCAAAGTCCCTTCTGTTTAGCTTACCTCCTTCAATTTAACGGCTACTTTAATCCATCATTTCAAATTATTATCTCCTCGCCGGGCGGCAAAGTTGGCAAGTTCCCGAGCACGCTCAGTTGGCCACGCATCAAATGGGCCCTCAATGGGCATTAAACGGAGCCTTGGCGATGCCACCTGAAAATCGTGATGAGATGAAAAGAGAAAGGGGGTTTTGGGAGTAAAGTAGAAGACCCATTAAAAGGCCACCGCACAAAACTGCTGACATCACGACTGATGGCGCCCCGATGTTGCCCGGCCACTTGGGCGGCGAATTAAAAAGTTGCCTTGATAATCCTTTCGCAAAATAGACGGGATTAAGTAAAATGCTGAGCCGGAAATTTATGCCGCTGCCCGCTGTTGGCCATCCGTCCAATTGGCCGTTGGCCAGGTGTTGACCATCAAACTGGACCAGAGTCGAATGAAAAGTTTCGCCGCGAGGGGGGCACTTAAAATGTGCCACACTGTTGCAATAATTACCCTTAAATGGTCACAGTTAAGAGCTCTTACGACGGGCAGCAAAGAGAATTCAATCTTGTGCAGCAGGTTGTCTGTTATTATCCTTGCAATGTCCTTGGTGTCCCGCTGATGGCGGTGATTTGTAATTTTAAGCGGCGTATGATTAACTTTACGGCTGAGACAGAGAGCGAGGAAGGAGAAAAG